CGTAAAGATCATGGGATGTCCTGGCGTTCTTTTGATCTTAAGTTATTAGTTTGCTCACATCAAATAAAACTAAATTATATAATATATTATTAAGCTGTTTTTAAGTTGTTATGCCTGAAGACAAATTAATTGCCTGAATTGGGATAACGTATTACACAGTTTTTCTTTCTCATCATCAGTTTTTCTATACCTATTGTCGGATAATGCTTCATCTGGATTTTGCACCAAATTTTCTTCTACGATTCTTATTCACGTTGCTTCAATAAATCTTTTCAATTGATGATGCGTTCGAACTAGAGATCTTCGCAGGGATCGTTTACTTTCTTCCAACAGGTCCAGTCTAATATGTCTGCTCAGTCGTAACGTTAAATATATTTACGCGGGTTAGACGTTGTGGTCCTACAGATGGTGATGGTTTTTGTTTCAGTGTCAAACACAGCTAGTGCACGTTTAAGATGATTAGTGCAATGGCTTGGATACCGCATAAGCTGTGAGTTCTCGATCCTCGCTTTGATTGTACCCTTTTCATCCGAGTCTGAAATGTACACATTCCCGAATAAGATTTTCAGACTGCTGCTAGATGTGAAGCAGACGAATGGCATGATCAAAGTTTATGACGTAGTCTAACAGGTTTATCAGCTTGTACCGTGGTACATTGCCACATGGCCTTGAGGCCACCCACCTCCTGCCATCGTGTCGCGATTAAACCGATATAGCTTCGCATCTACCAGAACTGCCGTTATATAAAACGTACCGCTATCTGCGGTGGTACGAATGTGCAAGTCGATCCGTCATTGAAAGAGCTACCATAGATCTGATTACAGCATTTGTAAAAATGACTCGTTCATTCAGTTTCGGCTATTCCTTGTCGACAAAAGAAAGATTTGTGGAACCGAAACTTCGATCTGGCGATGAATCACGATAGTTTTCAAAAGTGAATAAACTTAAAGAGGTCAGCAAGAATGCATAAAGTTGCACTAAGATATATCTGAACCTGTTCCTAGAGTTGCAAGTATCAGTTAACCATGGGCTTACAATTCACGTACCAGAATCTGAATTTATCACGCTGTATATATTATATACCAACATCGTCGTCATGAGCGCTGTAGTTTCCTGTTCAAAATGCTTGCTTTGATTTGTTGAGGACGAACGCCCCCCCCCCCACTGTGTTTTTGTACAACCATCTAATAAATGAACATTTCAACAACTAAGAAATGAGCAACAGTATGGACAGCATGGCGCTCCGTTGTGGTTTTGCTTTGACGTGCAAGATTCACGAACGTGCTCTCCGAGCACACCCTAGGGCTGCAGTTCACCTTCAGCCATCTCAGCTATATTCTGTGATAATGGCATAGGGCATAAGCTGAATTTTTCACATAATCAGTGTTCATCAATAGTATCGCCAACCTCAATTTCATTATGATCAGTCTTTGTTAGTGTGGTGCTGAATAAAGGCTTCTCCATGAATTTGTCACAGAACTCTGTCTCCTTTCAGCTCCTATTCATACTGTTGTGGTAAACCCGTTTTTCTCTCTGACATGAGGACTTCATATACCTTTTGTTCTGCCGTTTTTTGCCATTGCATATTGGAATTCAGACCAATATCTTAATGGTCCATCGATGACTTGTTGTTGTCCGTCCTGCCCAGTAATTTTTCGCGTTACAACGCAGAATCTTTGCTCTTGTTCACTCTTTGTTGTTTCAGACATCTACCTTTCCGTGCTTTTGTGTGTAGTTTCTACTTTCTGATCAGCCGTCGCGCGTCTGGCTTATGCTCTCATTCCACGCGTCAGATCACGCACTGATCGAGGAGCTTCCGTTTCATTCTTGAACGGTGTTTTGCTTATTGGTACATGACCATATATTGCTAGCCGTTAATAAACTATTCATTACAGACCAGCGTTCTGCGATCTCCCAAAGTCCTGAAATTCTGGCATTTCAATAAAACCTTAAAAATGAAACATGGTAACAGCTTCGTTTATGGCCTAAAATGTGTGTAGATAATTAATTAGGAGATCGCGATGTAGGTGTTAAAATGATGCTGAACTTTTTGAATCAGCATAATAATATCGCTCTGTTTTTTGAGTTTGACGAGGCGTCAACAAAATGATGATGTCATATTCCGAAAGACATTTTCTAAAATGTAGACTTAATCCGGTTAGATATTTACTTAACGTACTTATGTTTCGTACTTGACTACTGAATATATGTAATGGCGTTGATGACGGTTCGAAAGGCTTTCTCCTCAAGCAAAGGCTCTCAAACTGTTTTAGCTAGTTTGAAATGAATTCAGATTACCCAGCTTTCACAAGTGTATGATACTTATTACCAAGAATACTGTTGATGTAATAATGATAAAGTGATAAAAGTACCTTTATTTCTTATGTTCGCAGCTGAAAATGTAAAAATTACTGTTTATGCTTTTCGCTTAAGTAAATTTTGATTTTAGGCTAAAGAGCTATTCGGACAGTGTAATGAGCAGTGCGAAGTACTAGACGTGAAAGCTCATACGGGTAAGCATTTGCTGGACTGACGCGCGGATGTCTTCTCCTTTGAGCCGATTAGATCGACATTTAAATAGTTATTAAAAAGTATTATTGTTTAGCTCAGTTGCAATGTTGCCCAAAGCATATGTTGCTGATCCTCGCCTTGCCCTTTGAATCAGTTGCTGCGGCTCCATGGTTCGAAACGAACATAATCAGTGGTTGTCACTCAGTTACTTGTTTTTTTTCACATGAAGGCTAGTTTCTGGCCGAAACAGAAATCAGTTCGTAAATCATTTTGTTTCGATAATGACTTGTGACTGACACGTTCTAAAGAAAATAGACTAAATAATCATTTTGAGAGCATCCTACGGACACCACGACGATAATCATAGTGATGATTATGATGTTGTAAATAACCTATATATAACCTGTTATGTAGGTAACCTGTTATAATTTTGTTGAAAATTATATCAAGGTGAGTATTCAGTACAACAGTATTCGGTTTTATTGCTAAGATACGAGCAGGCTTCTACCTGATTCGTAGTACAGTAAAAAAACTAGTCAGTGCCGGTACCATGGATATTCTCTGTTCTGTTTTATACACAGTTTGAAATGAATTCAGTTGGTATGTAATTGGCGCAAGGCACAACCGATTTAAGGACAAGCATAACGAATAATTAACCATTTACTAGGGGTTCTCGAAGGGGTATGATGGCAAACCTGACCCTTCTTCGTCTAGGTAAGTCTCTCCCTGACGGTACTGCATGTCTCCCGCAGTGCCGAAATGTTGTCAGGTGTATGAGGATTGCCTGTCTTCTGTGAATGATTATTCCTGTACCTTTTGCACCAGTTTTCAATTCAATTAATTCCTTGTTCGCTTTCATTTAACACCGACGAAATAGTCCAATTGGACGGCGTTTTCATTTGATCATAAGTTGATGAAGTTTCATCGTAATGGTATACGTTTGAAGTAGGATTCATTTGTTCCATTACGTTGTGTTTTCGTTCGAGTAATTGAAATACGCGTAACTTGAATAGATTTGCCTTAAGGTAATGACCTGGTCTGCAAAAATAAATTTGCTGTTGACTTATTGTTTCCTAAATATACAATAAATTTCAGTAAATATTAAATAAAAATGTCCTTTAACTTCAGGCACTCCGAGAATCGCGGAGGACTTGTGTAAAATCGCCGGTCGTCAGGAGTTTCCATTGGTTTTCGTCAAAGGCGACTGTGTGGGCAATGTTTGTGATCTAGCGAAATTACACTCCAGTGGATTGTTGAAAGAAAAGTTGCAAGACCATCAGTACGACCTGGTAGTTATCGGTGGAGGATCCGGAGGTCTAGCCGCTGCAAAGGCATGTGCTTCTTTTTTATTGAGGACGCGCTTCGCTTTTAATCTCATTGAAACACTGTTATACATCCATAACACACCTCATTGCACATGCTGCGTAAGTCGCGGTGATTTTTATTCTGTCAAAAACTTAGTTTATTCAGACAGGGTAAGGGAGAGAAATTCTGTTACAAGTACAGTTACATTTCTCTTCTGTGTGAAATGGTTACATCTAATGATTGTTGCTTAGCTGCGACGACGTTCACCATGGTGAGATGATAGCTTATATGCTCTAGTTGTAAAAGGTAGTGATGATACACGGTTTTATTAATTCTTATTTATTTGTATGACATTATATTAGTCTCAAGATCTATCATGATTGTCAGAATATGGGTAAATACACATATCAATATTGGTAGGTTGATAATCGGACGCATAACTTCGTTAAATTGGGTTTTGTTGTTATTAGGCACGCGCTTGCTTTTCAGTGCTTATGGAGCCGTTTAGTTGGGAGGGATATATTGCCCTAACTAATAAAGTGCTGCGATGCGCACCTGCGGGCTTCAATGCTACGCAGATACTGTTTAGCCATTGTCTACTTGAATGCCACGTTTGCCATCGAGGATAAAGAATGACATCGCCGCATAGTGAAGCAGGATTTTGAGGAATTATGCGCTTCATAGCAACGGCTTCGATTTTTAATGGTGAAGTGGCACACTGACTTACATTGCCATTATAGGAAGCCGGGGAAATGGGAAAGCGGGTGGCTGTACTTGATTTCGTGATGCCCACTCCGATCGGAACTACGTGGGGTAGGTATAGATTTAAAATTTTAGACAAGTGTCTTTATGCACTGACGGTTGGTAGTTTGTTTTCTTTTCTTCTTGTGTTCAGGTCTCGGTGGGACGTGCCTCAATGTCGGATGCATTCCGAAAAAAATCATGCATCAGGGAGGTCTGTTGGGACAAAGCATAAAGGACGCAGCTAAGTTCGGTTGGCAAGTGAACGAAGATGGTATTTTTTGGAATACTTATAACAGCTGAGCGCTATTTATTTACTTTTTATTAAAATGTGAAATGGATAAAAATTCATATTATCTTTCTTGTTGACTAGGAGCGAAAATCGACAGCATAAGTTATTGCCTTATCTGTTTATACTTTTTTAAAACCATTTATTCTCGTTCCTTGCGATAGCGCGTAGTGGAGGTAAAGTGGGTGAGGGAGTCGTGTTGGACAACGCTCCATAAGAACTTCAGAAGGTTCTCTGTGAGTTAAAATATCTCAAAGCTGCATTCATGAATGATAGCAGATAGGATACCGACAAAGTCCCACGAATCGGTCAGGTAGGCACCGTAATGCTGCAATTAAATTGGTCTGTCTTAATGTAGAAAGTGAGTTATTAACCGTAATGCAAAACTGGCTGTTATCACTTCTTTATGCGCAACTACCCGCAACTGTGGATAATTTAATTCTGGATATTGGGGCCAGATTGTACAGTGGCATAGAAGTCGCTTGGAACTGCAGAGGGGCAGGGTTCGAATCGACTCAATGAACAATATTTTACTTAACAACAGTTTCCCCTGAGCAGGGAATTAACTCCACGTTGCATCGACGTAGCCAGCTGTGCTGCGAGTCAGCGACTTGCAAGCAACAGGGACAGCATGATATTCTGGTGTTATCATACCCGGATGGGCGATGTCCTTCCATGTTTTCTTATGCGAGCGGCCCTTGTGACTGAATTGTGTCTCGACTATCCTATTAAGTGACTGTCCGATGCGATTATCAACACAAGCTGTAACCTCGATTTTTATACTATCGAAAGGTGTCATTCCTGATTAATCGGCAAAAAAGGTGGCTTCTCTAATAAACAGGGACAAACTAGCTTCTAATAAACTGGGACTACATCACAGTTACACACCCTTCTTTGTAAGCTGTTTCTTCTCCAAAGAAACTGTTAGTACCGTGATGATTTCGACTCCTCGAGAGAGAGAGAGAGAGAGAGAGAGATGTATAAGGTAGGACGAACGCTGCAAAGCCACATGCCCAGCGACAAAAGGCAGAAGTAGCGCAAAATGACTGGAAGGTATCAAACATCTGACACGGTGGATGTAGTTTTTGACCACAAAACCAACCTCTGACTAATTATTGTAAAGTCCTGTGTACTAAATTAAAACGTAACACAGGACTCATATATTGAACAGTGAGGTTAAATAGGTGAAAGACACGCAGAATGTTACGAATGAAAATACAGATGAAAAGTAGAGACTGAGCAACAACCTGAAATCCTGAATTTGCTGGTCAAGTTCAATATTCTTGATCAGCGCAAATTTCAGATTTTATCCTTCTTGGCCTTCGAAGAAGACAAAACGAGCACTTAAAAGGGCTTGCATGCATCTCAAAGGTTA